ACCTATGAGCTGGCTCACACTCACTCAACATAGAGGAAACACTGCTCAGGACTTGGAGCCAATGCTTCCTCTAAGCTGTGGAGGGGGAACCCTGCTCCCTGACCCCATGCCAGGCCACTGTGGCTAAATGGCTCCGGGTGAACAAGCTGAAGCCTGATAAATTCAGGGGGGTTGGAATGAAGCAGCAGAACAAAGTTTGAGGCCTGGCCCGGATACCTTGAAGACCCCCCACCCCACTCTGAGTTTTTAAAGTGTTCCTTTTTTTTTCCCTCTTCTCTCTGCAAGGGCAGGAAGCGAGGTCCGTTACCTGCCATGGTCATGGAAATGGCTTGACTTGCAAAGGAACTGAGGGATTTGGTGTCGGGAATCTCCAGGTGACTCCTGGAGATCTCCCAGAATGCCTGCAAGGAGGGCTCCCAGGGTGCACCAGGGTGTCCCCAGGGTCCACTTGGGTGACCTGGGTGGACCAGGTCAAAAGGGGGTGGAGAGTGTCGCATGGGTGGAGCCAGAGGTTTGATAAAAAGCGCTCGCTCCCAGGAGGGAGGGTCATTTTACTCTTGGTGCTGATCTTTGTGAGAGGACAGACGGCTGAGCTACGATCTACAGGCCAGGAGCCATCGGCCATGTGGCCTGGCCTGCTGGCTGCGGGGCGCCTAGGCCATCACTCAGAGCCCTCTGTGTGGGCACGCGTGCCATCGCCCCAGCGAGGCCCAGACCATCATTAAAGTGTCGAATTCTCTGCCAAATAATTTGAAGTAGATGAAAGCATTTGGGATTGCTTTCCTTACTTTGTTTGGATCATCTTAAGTTAATTATGAGTTGTTTTTTTCTAAAGTAAAACCTCAGTATTCAGGTTAAATTGCCGTGTTGGCACTTTGCGATAAATAAGTGGGTTTTGGGTCGCATTTTGGACACTCGGTCTCTAAAAGGTTCGCCATCACTGGCCTAGGAGGTAATGAAACCTCTTTAGAACCTTTTGTAACTTTCTAAGCTTGGAGCGGCCTACTCGACTGTTTCAACATCTAGTCGTGTAAGTTTTTAGAACCAGGGACGGAAGGATGCGATTATGACCAACTTTTCTTTGTCCTTCTGGCTGCTGATCTGGTGCTGTGCTGAGAGTATGCTTGTAACCTTTTTCTCTTTTTAAATCAATGTTTTACTCTTTGAAGCTGGGAGTGTTCTCTGGACGGCTTCGTTTCCCCAACCGCCTTGGCCCACGCTACTCTAAGAGGGGAGTCCTAGGACTGGGAGGAAGCAAGCCGTCAAGGAACCTGTTGCCGATCCTCCAGGGAGCCCCCAAAGAAGATATTTGGTCCCTGTGGTAAGCAGTTAACACTGCCATGTC